CCTGAAGATATCTGAAAGATATTGCTGTTCTCCGCAGGCACCATAACTTTTATTAAAGGGCAGAAGCCTGGGATGGGGCCTTTCTCCCCATTAAACTGCCAGTGTTAAGTATTTAAGATGATTTGCTAGTCCCAGTAAGAAGGGAAGACACTAAACAGTTTTGAAAAAGAGGTCCATTTTTACCCAGATACCAGCTTGCATCCCAAAGAGCCCTAAAAGCCAAATTAAAGAAAATGTTCCCTGAAGTGGCATCCTATTCTGCACTCTTGATTTCAAATGCAGGTATTCAAGATCCTGTAGTTCACTGTATTTCTTTATCTTTTGGTAGTTAAGAGAGGATTTTTCATACTATGTTTATTTTACCCACTATTTTCCCCTCTTTGGAAGGCCTACAGTGAAAGTCAGCACTAAATGAGTTGAGGCTGGGTCAGTATTTCAATTCACCTCTTGTCTTGAGACTCATTTCTAAACATGCATAAGGATTGGATGATGATGTGACTCCTTTGTAAGAATGTGTAAATTCAGTGATAGGCCTGAAACTGGTTGTGCCCTGGTCAGTATTTTTCATACAAGATGCAGCCTTCATTCTCACCTCTAGAACAGAAGTATGGTCAACACCACTTATTTGCCTGTTCATAGGAGTTCACAGGAACATCAGTGTTCTTGGCTGTGCTTATGAGATTATTTCAATACATCATAACGCCGTAAAAATCACTGAAATGCAGTGATACTGTTGCAATTGCTTTTAACCAACTATAAAAACTAATGTTACCTTTTTTCCCCTCCACTGCTTTTGGGAGAAAGCCAACCCCCACTCCATAAAGTGTTATTTGCAAAATGCTCCTACCTTGCCAAACCATTAGATATAAACCTTTTTAAACAGTGAACAGGATATCATAAACCCTAGATAGGCTTTGAATGACTCTACATCTCCATTCTTTCCCTTTGGAGTCATACAAGTGCTATTTAAACATGCTACATGTTTTAATACACCGTCATTACTTCGTATCTTTAGTCAATTACTTCCCAAGCAATCCTTTTCACTTAATGTTAAGGACTTAGAGACAAGCCTGTTATTGAAGAAGATGATGTGCCTTAAGGATAACCAGATATTTTCTGGATACTCCCAGAGGAGGAAAGAGCTGAAGATTGGGGTCTTCACAGGAACCCACAGTGTTACATTAATTCTAATGTTATATTAACAGTGCATTTAATGGATTGGCCTATCTTTTTTTTTTTTTTGCTTTTTCACTTTAGTAAAAATGGGTGAGAACCTCAAGTCTAAATCATTTAACTTTCAAAGAAACTTGACTTTTTTCTTCCACGTTCAGATCCATGACCAATATAATTTTGCTTCCAGGTTCCACATTTAAAGCTGCGAGGAAGCATACCTACCTTTATTGAAGAATCTGAGATTTATGCTTATTTATGCAGAGCCCTAACACAAAAAATATAGCTGGCAGGATTTTAATTTCTATCAAACTCAAAGTGCAGAATGTCCTTCCAGCCTGATTTAGCATCAGTGTAAGGACCTACTTTGAACCCAATCAGGACTCTAAAATTAACAACAGCATCTGGTAAGAAACTTGAAAAACCTGCCATTCAAAAGGTAAGAAAAAATCCCTTGCTCAATTCCAAAAAGATTAGGATAATATCCTACCAGTAATATTTTCTTGGCTTTCCAAGAGAATGGTCTTCCTGCTTGAAATCCGTCCATTTGGCAGACCAGAATTGCCTAGATTCAGTTCTCTACTGCATAAGCTTTATATTTTTATTCTCTTTTAATTACTTTGATTTAGACAAAATGAAGCCACTTAAGACCTGGCAGAAAAACCCAGTTAATATTTCCCTTCTCATCAAGTTTGAAGATTAATTATGCATTCTAATAAAGGCTTAAGGACTTGTTTCTGACAGCTGCTGACCATTTTCATCTTAAACCAACAATGCCTTTAAACACATGCTTAATGTAATTGTCTAAAAAGTCCTTTCATAGTAAACAGCACTATTGAGAGTCATAAGAATTTAGGCAGAGGAGATGACCAAAACCTGAGAGCTGAGAACCTGTCAGGGCTGGGGGGTGGAGGGAGGAAGAGATAAATGATCTAACTTGAAAAATTTAACAAAGCAGGTAATAATTTCTGTTTCTCATATCTTAATACATTCTAGCACTTGTATCCTCTAGATTTGCAAAAGGCTTGGGTAAGTTAAAATATAAAAAGTCTCAATTTATTAAACATCAGTGGAATGAGACTAACTCTAATCTTCCATTAATCTTAAATGTCAGCTACTTATCAGCAATAATATATAAATATTGTATATAATAAAATTCTATATTATACATGTTATATATTTATTATTTATAATATTTATTAATAGTCATATAATTATCTATATTGTATTCCAATTATAGTTATATATAAAATTATATTTATAAATTATTTTAATTTTTATATATATAAAAAGAATATTTATGGTCTTCCATCTAATTTCAAGAGAATGAGCAGGACAAGTTACAATGTCCTGCTCAGCCAAGAAGTCAGGGATTGTGTGATTTTAAGACAGAAAGGGGAAAAAAAGAAATATGAAAGAAAGCAGGAGCCAGATTACTGGGTTTGTGATTTCACAAAGTAGTTGGCCTGATTTAACTGCATTCAGGAACTGATACGAAGCTTGCTGGAATCAAGGGCAGTCTTTAAATATCAGTAGAGCTCTGCTGGATGTGTGCATTAATGACAAGTATTTTCTGGAAAAACTATGTACCTTTTCTGTTTGCTGAAGATACCTGCAAATGCAGTTGAAAACACAACACAAACCAGATCTCCTTTCTTAAAGATCTAAATGGGAAGAATGATAAATTAGATACGGTGCCTCCACACCCATCTCTAACTGAGAAAATTTTCACATGAATAAAATTATTCTGTTCCATGACTGGAAAGTAAACTACTTTCCTGGGTTACAGAAAATAAAATATGTGCAGGAAAGCAAAATCATATGAATTCACTGCAGCGACTGAGTCTGGGCTGAGTTCCAGTCTCGTTAAAATCAGAAAATCATGGACCAGTCCAATAAGCTGGCACAGACACAAGAGCAATACAGAAGTTCCTCCCTGCTTTCTTCGTCTTGACATTCACATGTGTGGACAAGGACATGTCAGTATTGCTCCACATATAAACACAGGAAGAAGGACAGTACAAATAAGCTGGCATAAAGATTGGTAACTAATTGTCAAGGAAAGGAGTAGGTAGTTCTGCAGAGCTACATAGTTGAAATGTAGCTTTGGCTTAATAGTCCACTATTCTGAAGATGCACTGTTTTACCAACGTACATAGCTTCAGCCGTTTGGAAATCTGAAAGTTTGGGGTGTTTGTTTTCTTTTCTTATTTTTATTTTATTTAGACAACTAAGATAGAGTGGCAGAACACAGGCAGAGTGTGGCTTTATAGAAAAGAGCCTCTAAGGATCACTTTCTCAGCTCTGCTCAGGGAGATGCAGCTGCCCAGTCTCCAGGCTCTTTACAAAGAACAGAATTCTAGCATAGAATTCCCCATTTTTTCCCCATTTGTATGGTAATAAATGAGCATCAAATTAACATGATCAAATGATCAAAGCTACTTTTCCTCCACAAATACCACTGATCTTGAAAGACAATTGCTTCCTCAGTGCTTCCTGCACCGAGAAAAGAGATCAACATAAGAAAGTTGGGTATGTTTTGTGCTGTTCTTAACACCATTGATCCTCTCTGAGTGGAGATCCGTTTTGAATTAGAGCTAGTCATTTCTGACAGATCAATGCTACTGCAGCTAGACTGGCTGTGAAGTTGCTGTGGAATATCATCCCTTCAAAGAATCTAATACAATTACTATCACTATCCTAATTTGGTTTCTTATGACACAAATTCGTAATGGAGACGAGCATTCGATAATTGATCCTTAACAAATGTGAAGGAAAAAGTGGCTTGCTTTGCCCTTCAAGCAGCTCCTCCTTTCATCTAACATTCAGAGCCATGCTCCAACTGGAAATAATTCTTTACCAAAAAAAGGTGGGGGAAGGGGGTGGGGGCGGAAGATAGGTGTCAAAGAGAGTTTCTGATACAAGGGAAAAGATCTTCTGAAAGACAATACTTACAGACATACCCTGCAGAGAGCACTTCTCATTAATAACATCATAAACTTGTGCAGTTTTAACATGCAAAAGGAATACATAGGTCAAACACTACAAAGGAGGAGAATACAAAGCAGCTTTCAAACAGATCTAGATGGAGTTGCATTGAACAGGCTAACACAAACTGAGGGGAAGAAAGATCAGGGCACACAACTCAATTTTTTTGTTAATTTTTTTAACTAGGTCTTACGCAAGTGATTCTTTTCATTTAGATACATTCACTGTGACTTTCTTTAAAAATGCTAGTGCTGTAAAAAGAGAGAGGGAAGAGGGAGAAGTATTGGTTGTGTGAACACAATTTTTGATAAAACTCAATTTATGTAAAATTATTCAGCTGAAATTCTTCAATTGTTTTCAAACATTTAAAGTGATAAGAGCCTGTGAAACTAGTAAGAGATACTACACCAGTTTTACAAAAGGGACTATACAGCTTGGTTGAAATTCATAGGCAGGGTTGAAACTAGAGGAAGAACCTCCCTTTGGAACAAGAGAGCTGATAAAAATCACCAGTTTGAAAACAGCATTTGGCTTTAATCTTCTTTTGGGATAGGAGAAATGTCCAGGAGCTATCACATTCCACTCTCCAGATCAGATAATTTCTAAGTCATGGTGCATCTTTTACCTTTACAGTCTAGGGAAGAATATCCCATATTCTCATTTTCTCCTGTAATGAGATATCCCTCATAGAAATTACAAATCTTTGTCCTAAAAGTTAAAAATTTAATTCTGGAGTGGAATTTTTACTGTCAAGATCTTTACACCACCAGAACAGCACAGTCTGCATGCTGTTAAGAATGGTCTGTGACTAAAATCCTGTGGTCATAATCAAGAAGAAGGTTTATCAGTCAAATGGTGGAGGCCCATCTTGATCAAGATGGGATGTTGCAAAAGTTCACCACGTAGCAAAACAAGGACAGGGGCAAAGGCATCAAGGTGAAAGAAATAATAGTGAGGTGAGAAGTTATACACTTATGCAAGGGAAAAAGGCAAATTGTACAGGGGAAATAGATACATTCTCTAGTCCTGGGAAATGGTTTAAGTGCTGAATTTACGATGACAATTCTGCAGCTCAGCTCCTGCATTGTGAGCACTGTAAGAATGCTGAAGCTGCTGGATTTGGGGGACATTAATGGAGCTTCTAACCCAATAAAATGCAGCTATTTGAGGATTTTAGGAGGCACCCTTTATTGGGAAGCTGTGGGATATATTGCATGCTGTTAAGTTTAACGCTGGGTTTTACCTGAATTTTCTTGATGCCATCTGAGTGGGTCAAATTGATTCTCAACGCCTTGTTCAATACCCACTTTGTGGCTCAAGCTGAGAACATAAACAGAACCAAACACAGCAAAGAGAAAAGTGGAAAAAAGAGTGTAAACAATGGATAACTGCCACTTGAAAGTAACATTAAAATACCACAGAAATAATGCTACAGATCTTTTTAATATAACTTGTTCACTAATTACCTACTTCTCTAAAGTTTTACATGCCATCTTTTCTTCACAACAGCTGTACAGAATCTCAGCCTCCAACTATTTGCAGGCTCTTTGTTGGCTGTGTCATAATGCATGACAGCAAATCTGCTTGCCATGTACCAACAGCTGTAGTTTGTGTGCTGCCATCACCAGTCCATCTGCAACCATCACCCCTGCCAGTACAAAGGGCATCATTATGCAGCACTGAATAAAAAGCCAGAGGAAGAAAATGCTCTGGCAGCAAAACATTCCTGCTCCCAATGCTCCTTTCTGCTTCCTTGTTTTCATCAGTGTTCAGTTCTCCATCTGCTCTCCAGGAGTGCTATGGCAAAATGGTAAAAATGAATGCAAGGCAACATAAGGCAAACTACAACCAGAAAGGCATTCTTGGGTCATTTCTACTCTTGCCCTGAGAGAGAAAGACACATAGATGTATTCATTAGTCTGATGCTTAAGGTGTAAATGAAAGTACACACCAAGAAACATGGGAGGGTTTGAGGCATGTCCTACTCTCCCAGAATCCAAAAAGGGGGGGCCTGGAAAAGTTGGAACACAAATATTTTAAACTGCCCCAAACAAATACCATGTACTAATAATATCTAAAGGAGGCCTACAGGGATGCTGGAGAGGGACTCTTCATCAGGGACTGTAGCGATAGGACAAGGGGCTTGAAACTTCAACAGGAGAAGTTTAGGTTAGATATAAGGAAGTTCTTTACTGTGAGGGTGGTGATGCACTGGAAGAGGTTGCCTGAAGAGGTTGCCCAAAGAGGTGGTAAATGCTCCATCCCTGGCAATGTTCAAGGCCAGGCTGGACAGAGCCTTGGGTGACATGGTTTAGTGTGAGGTGTCCCTGCCTGTGGCAGGGGGGTTGGAACTTGGTGATCTTAAGGTCCTTTCCAACCCTAACGATTCTATGATTCTATGGGTTACAACAGGAACTGTTGTGTATCGTGGGAGACTATGTGAGCTCTCTAAGTAGCAACAGTCAAAGGAAGTACCAGTACAATTCCCACCAGTCACTGAACTTCTACGGTACAAAGTCTAATTCATTTTGAACAGAAGTGCTATACTTCAGTCGCTGTTTATCTGAGAAAAGATTAAAATATTTCAATGGAATTTAAATTTTCAGGAATAATGTGAGGGGACTAAAAATCAGATTTTCCAGAATATGCAAATTTAACTACCTGAAATCTGTTTCAATGGCAAATTTCTAAGTGTTGCCACCTAGTCTGGAAGGACAGACAGAAACCTGCTACTATTGAGCTTCACATTAACAGCTACATGTTATGAACAGGGGTGCAGGAAACAAGGGTCCCTGTCAAGCTCTCCCTTCCATTTCCCAGGGCTCAGCTGTGGAAATTCAAACCTTTCTTCCACCCTCTGACACCATATCTCAGGATAGGACTGTGGAGCAGCAAATTAGTCAGCTAACTCCCAATTGACACTACTAAGCAACAGCAAATCCTTACTTCTAAGACTGCGAATATTCTCCCTACCAAAAATACCATTTTTATTCCTCCATTAGTAGGAATAGTGTGAGTCAGACAATGCGTTCTCTATTCAAGACTGCATGACAAGTGTAATTTCACCTTTAAGTTGTGGATTCCCCCACTTCAGGAAACCAGCTTTGTTTTTAAACTAACTGAAATGAAACAGCGACATTCCCCTTAGAAACCAAGCCTCCCTTCCCATTGCTGGAGTGGAGCAAATAGGGACTGAAATACAAGCTTAAAGCTTTACAAATCACCTCCGTACCTGAACAGTTAAGATACCTGAAGCTGAGGTCAATACAGCAGAGCCTGCTGAAAATTAAAAAAATAAAAATAAAAATAGGATATTATAGCAATTTACAGTGATTACGGATCTGACTCATTAATTCCAGCTTTTCTTTTCCTCTCACTAATGGAAACCAGAAGTTGTCTTATGAAAACAGCAGACACGCATGCACGCATAATTGAAGAAATGGACCCCTAGTTTTTGGTAAATACTGATCCCCTCTTTTCTATATGCATTAGTTGAAGTACTGTAAGTTGGCAGTAAGGAAATCAGTTCTTTTTGCAGTTACAGCTGGATAGATTCAATGCTTGGGATAAATTCGCCTTGAGCAAACCTTAAAAAAATTGAAGTATTTCCTTGCTAAGTGATCCCAAGAGGCATATGTCTCTATAAAACAGTTAAAGGGAAGCTGCTGACTTGCACTCAGTGAGTTCAACAATTTGAAAATGATTAATTTTGTTTTAAATCTTACAGACCCACTTATGCAACAGACAGCAAGGAGAGAAATTAATTTTTTTTTAAGATACTTCCAATTTGGAAGATTAAGAGATGGGATCAGTGGTACATTACAATGAAATTTTAATTATCAGAAGTTTGGCACAGTGATAGATTCAACTGCACTGCTTTGCCAGTGAACTCTGTCTTCCAGAAACTCAACTTCACACCCAGCCTTGAGCTCCAGTTCATTCAGTTTGGAGCTTGCCTCTCTACAAAGTGTTCTGTTTTGGAACTGCTGAGGGAGGAAACAGTCATTTGCCATTGATAAAGACCTTATGGTAGCTTTCTCAGCGCAGCTGCATTGGCCCTCCTGCAATCACAGGGGAGAGGGACTTGTGTGCCTCCTGAGGGCTGATCGCTCTCAGGAGAAGCTTCTCCAGCATGAAGGGAGATGTACAGAATGCACTCTACACTGACAGAGGATTATGATTGCATGCACCCTCACTGTCCTGTACACAGAAAAGCAGTGGCACAGCTAGTGCAGTAAACAGCTCCAATATGTTTGTGCCAGCACATTACTCCTTTTTGCCAACTGAATTCCCAGATGGCCCGTAGCACCCGGCTATTTGACTTGGATACTTTCAAAGGCTCAGAGCACAGTGTCTGCACTTATGCCAGATTCCTATAGGGTAGCTGTAACTATACCATGCTCACTTCAGCTCTTCCAGCAGGTCTGCTTGAATGTGGAGCATACTTAAAATTTTCAGTCCCCAATTACAGTGGCTAAACTGATGCCATCTTCACTCCATTTGATTCCAGAGGTGAGAAAACTCACTTGTGTATGCGCTTTATACACATACATTGTATATAGGGTTTATATTTATCAGGGTAGGATTCTCAGTTGAGATAAACCAGAGTAGGTTTAGAGATGGCAAAAGAATTCATGCAGATAGAGGCTTTAGGATAAGAGACGGTACAGAAAAGCCAGGCATTCTTATTAGTCTCTGTTTTAGCCCTCCTATGTAAAAGAAAAAATTTGGTGATGTGGAAGCAATTCAGGAGAAAACACTGCTTTAATAGTAAAGTCTAGAGATTAAGGATATTATTAACTACATATTCTCTGCATATTTTTTTCAGAGCCTACTGTGCTATTCACAGTCACTTTGTCTATTTAGGACAGAGCTCTCCCTGGGGACTCACCCAAGAGTAAATAGAGTTACTTCAAGAATTAAAATAAACTGCTGGAGGTATATCACACCTTATGGCAACTGCAATTTTCCTTTCAATTATGAATCAAAGAGACAAAGCCAAGGGCTGCAGTAGAAGTGGGGCTGGAAAGGGGCTGACCACAAGGCAGGTAGGATGACAAAAACATTTTCTTGGGAAATTTTTTTCCTTTGAACCATCCCTGGGGTTCCTGGGCTCAGCATCAGCCCCAGTAGTTGCCTGGGTTTGGAGCTGGGATAGAGACAAAGCAGACAACTGCTTTTGGAGTGGTAGAAAGGGGCCGCCAATCCTGCTGGTAAACTTCAGGTTTCATTAAGGTAACTTGAATGGAAGGATAAGAAATGCATACTCCTTCTTAAGGCATTCTAGGAAGAAAAACCCTGGAGGAAGGACATTGATAAGCTTTGATCTTATGGAAGGAAGGTGTAGCTTTCTGCATGTAAACAGGGCTGAGGAAATTTGAGTAGTCTTCCCAGATTGCTAGGAGTGAAGAAAAATAACCTGTTACATTAATAAGGAAAGGCAAGTAACCAGTGACTTACAGAATCGCACCTACTCGCCTGCAAGGAAGGTTAATTTTTATGTATAAAACAGGAACTAAACACAATCACTGTTTACCTCCATAAGACCTGGAAATAGAATAAAACAAGTGGATCCGATTGTAGCTTCAGAATCTATACAGAGAAGCCAATTTCTTTTTGAATATGTCCTGGGTTTGGCTGGGATAAAGGTAGTTTTCTTTTTAGTAGCTGGTACAGTGCTGTGTTTTGGATTTAGTCTGAGAATAATGTTGATAACACACCAGTGATTTAGCTGTTGCTAAGTAGAGCTTACCCTAAGTCAAGGACTGTTCAGTCTCTTATGGTCTGCAAGTGAGTACGTACACAAGAAGCTGTGAGGCAGCACAGCCAGGACAGCTGACCTGAACTAGCCAAAGGGGTATTCCATAGCACAGCACATCATTCCCAGTATATAAACTGAGGGGAGTTGGCAGGAAGGGGCTGATCACTGCCTGGGGACCAGGTGGGCTTCCGTCAGCAGGTAGAGAGCAATTGTCTTGTGCATCACTTGGATTTCTTGGGGTTTATTCCTCTCTCTCCTTTTTATTAAAATTACTATTATTATTATCTTTGCTTTGTTGGGGATTTTTTTTTATTATTAAACTGGTTTTATCTCAAATGACAAGTTTTACCTTTTTCTGATTCTCCTCCCCATCCTGGTGTAGGGGGAAAGAGGGCAGGAGAGTGAGTGAGCAGGTGCGTGGTACTTAGTTGCCAGCTGGGGTTAAACCATGACAGAATAACATGCTTATGTATTCAGGATCCTAAATCTGTATTGGAAACCTAAGGAACTGTCCTGATATTCTGAATCACCCAGTGAATGAGTGGAATCATTTTTAAATGGCTTCAGTGGGAACTGCTGTATTCAAGAGCTTTGGATGGAGAGAAGGAAACCAAAGTTTCACGCTGTTTCTTAACTTTGGGCTTACAAATCTAAGACTTGCATTTTCAGAATTCTGCAGTAATGTCTGGGTTTGCTTTAAGTACTGTACTGCCAGAACTACTGCGCGGATGTTTTAAAAAGCTTTCAGACTCTCTCTCTACCATTTAAATAAGGATATTTAACACAGAGTAAACACAACCCCACTTTGCTGCCATGCAAGTTTCAAATCTAGGTAAAATAATCCCTTCAGCAAAAGCAAAGCTGTATAAAAACTGCCACAGCAAAGCCATATGAAAGCCAATAGTAAACTACATTTGGGAGCATTCATGGTATGTAAAAGGTAAATTTCTAGTATCTCAGTTGAGGAAAAAAGCAAAGTTCTCATGATGAATTAAACTGTGAAGACCTCTATTTCCCACAGATTGGCCTTTCCTCA